GGGTGGGGGGCGCGGCACACGCTGCATCGTGTAAGACGCGGCTGGCTGCGGTGACGGCTTCGTGAGCCGCGTGCCCCGCCTGAATTCTGCACGAGGCGCCCTTGTGAACATGGCTGTTGATGGGCTGCGGGCGGGCGTACTCACACACACACATTCACACAACAAGCATTCATACGCGCGCGCACACACATACACACACACATACACACACACACACATACACACACACCAACACACACACCAACACACCAACACACACACCAACACACTAACACACACACACACACATGCACACATACACACACACAAACATGCACACACACACACACACACACAAGCACAGAGACACACACACACATGCACAGACACACACACATGCTGACACATGCACACTTGCTCGCACTCACACATGTGATAGAATCTGCTGTGCACTCCGCCCAGCACCCTCCCCCCCTTCCCCAACGCACGCACACACCTGGTTGGCCTCTTCAAACATGAAACTGCCGTCTGCGTTGTTGTCACGTAGCATTGCCGTGTACGCGCTGGTGGCATCCTTCAAAAAGACGGTGTCCGCATCTGTGAACGGGGCAGGGCGTAGGCACATGATCCGCTGTGGACAGGGGGGCCATGCAGGCTTGCTGTCTGCGTCAAAACCAGAAGCTGGGGCCACGTGTCGCTTGCTGCTGAGGAGGCGAGGCCTGCTACCCTTGTTTGCGTTGTGCGCTCAACCACCAGGGCTCTCCCCGCCCGCAGCACCCCGCTCAAGAACACAGCAGCTTCCCACTCGCAGCCCTGCAGCCGCGCTGCCAGCTGCTCCTCGAGCGCCCCGACCACACACGCCCCTCGCGAGCGCCGCCGCGCCCGGCCCTGGCGTCCACAACTTGTCAGACGGCGCGCCTGCAGATCACGCACCAGAAGCCTGGCACCCCCTGCGGCCCACCGGCGCCGTGCCGTGGACACAAACCATCCCCTCACCGGCAAACAGCACGTTGTAGTTTTTCTTGATGATGGAGTGCGCGATCAGCGTCTTGACCCACACCAGCTGGAACCACTCGGGGCTGTTGCGCTGCGTGTCTGCGTCGGCCGCGCGGCTGCCGTACGACTTCATGAGGTGCGCCGCGTCGTAACACGGCAGCCGCAGCTGCTTGCAGCGCGCGACGCTGCCGGCGCCGGCGGCGGTGACAATGATGTTCTGCAGCCCGTTGTTTTGGGGGGGGTGGGTGGGGTCAGGTCAGCTGCCATTAGATATGCTGCCATCGCGTGCGTGCAGAGGTTGCACCGCTCATGACCAACCCCAAAGCTATTCCTGCTGGACCCGACACCCATCGCCGCTCCACATTCCGGCCCGATGGCGGCCAGATCCATCCAGGCATGCACACCCGCCCAACTCGGCCGCGCCCGCACCTGCAGGTTTGCAAACTTGTACATGGACACCAGGCAGTTGAGCGTGACGGCGTAGAAGCCCTCGTTGAAAACCAGCACCGACACCGAGTTGTTTCGAGCCTGCGCGGCCGGTCGTCATCGCGCCGTGCGGCGCACCGTTGACTCGGTGACGCAAGTGCGCCGCGCCCTGGCTGGCTCCCGTCTGTCCCCCGGTGCAGCAGCGGGCATCGATTGAGGCCTAATGGCTCAATGTCCTACCTGAACCTTCAACAGCGCGTCCAGGTCGTCCGTAAGGCCTTCCCAGGGGAACGGGGTCGGGTCTGTCACAGTCCACGGCAGCACACCCGCGTATTTTCCATCTTGTGTTCCAGTAACCGTGTCAGCGACTGCTATTAGCAGAAGCGCGCCCAGCAGCAGCGATTTCATTGCTGCTGGGCGCCTGCCAACCGCTCGCGCCTATTCCGCGCTCACGTGCCTAGCTGCTTATTAAAATATATGTTGATGGCTTGTTTGAGGCTGGGATTAGCTCGACAAGCAGATTGCAAGTGCAGGGTGCAGTGGTCGCCTCTGCCGTTGAATGGCCGTCCTGAATGCCGCGGAAATCTGTTATATCAAGGTGATATGACCTTTAATTGTGCAGCTGCACCTGCTCACCGATGAAGCAAGCGGGCGTCGCCACCTGCATTCCCTGCTGCGGCCAGCTGCTCATATCACCGGACCTGCGAGCAGCTGTCACCGCATGCCAGTGCTCCCTAGGTTCATTCAAGCCTGGACAAGAGTAAATGCCGCGCAGGTAAATGTTACCCTCTGCACCCGGTCCCACTGTCCCTGGCGGCATTGTCTCTGCCTCACAGCTGCTGCCACGACCCACGAGGGCTTCAGGGGGGACCTTTGGCCAGAAGCATCAGAAGATACCGCTTCCGACTGGCGTTGCAAAGTACAAATTTACATGCGACCACAATACTTCAGAGTCTGTGTATGCGCGCGCGCGTGCGTGTGTGTGTGTGTGTGTGTGTGTGTGCGCGCTTGCGTGTGTGTGTGTGTGTGTGTGTGTGTGTGTGTGTGTGTGTGTGCGCGTGAGTGCAAATGATTGTGGCATGTGTTTGTGCACCGAGTTTGCTGGCTTGCAACCCACGAGGACTCACAACATTCTGAAGCTTTGATGCCACTCACCCTGCAATTGTATGTGTATGTCATGCCGTCCCACGATCTGGCTTGGCATTAGCCCCTGGCGACACCAACGGGTGTGCATACGGCTCGCCATCCGACTGCTGTCTCCCGCGAAGTCCCCCGGACCCACCCTTTGCGCTGGGCAGCAAAGCTTGAGCTGCTCCACACAATACAGGCATGCGCTGATGCAGACGGTCCTGTCGCCAGCCAAGAAAAAGGTGGTGGCGATTACAAATGACATCATCGCACCGATTGGATGCACGCTGCAGCCCCCATTCCGTCCGCTGCCACCGGGCGGCGGCGGCGGGGTGGGCCTGGCACGCCCTGCTGCCGCCGCGGCGCCCGGCGACGGCGGGCCAGGAGGCGCGGGGGCCCCGCCGCGTTTGGTTTGGGAGGGGCGGGAGGCACAGAAAGATGACACACAGGGGGAAGGCAATGCAGACGACAGCAGCGCGGAAAACCCTATGAGCCAATGTTGAAGGAGAAGAACGAGCAGTTCGTTGCGCGGCGCGCCCAACGTTCCACGCGGCGTGATCGGGCCCATGCCCCCGTTGCGCCGCGCACTCTAAAGTGTCCTTGGGCGGCGCGCACCGTCCAAGGCATCCAGAAACAGCGCACCCATGAGGGGGCGTCAGTGACATGGCAAAAGGCAAGTCATAACCAGTGCATAACGTTGGGCCGTTCCTCCGGCCGCGGGGCGCGCGTTTGGCGCGCGGCGGCGCGCCCCGCAGCTGGTCGGGATGGGAGGCGCGCACGCGAGCGCGGCCCCGCCTGCGCCCCGCGCCGGCCGGCTGGCGCACTGCTCTATCGAAAGTGACCGAGTGCCAAAGAATGCCGCGGCCGGGGACGATGCGGCATAGCACCGTAAAGGTTGCGAGGGGCCTGGCGACATGCGCCGCCACAATTGGCAGTGCGCCAATCCCCCACTTCCCAAGAAGCCCGCTGCGGCTGCATTTATGAAATATCAAAGCCCGCCGACACAAGTTGGGGCGCGCCCAGCCATCCGCTGTCGGCGCCGTTCCGCCACTGCCGCCAGCCGCCGTAGCAAGAGCCGACGCGCAGGCGGCCTGCGGCCCGCGGCCGGCGGGGCTGCCGCCGCTGAGGCCCCTGCTGCGCCGCGCCGCCGCTTCCGGAGAGGCGCGGCGCCCCGCCATCTGACAGCCCGCACGCCCGCCCTCCCTTCCGTCCCGACCCTATCACCCCGCCGCCGGCCCCGCTGCTGCGCAAGGGGCGACGCCGGCGCGCCGCGCAGCTGGCTGCCGGCCTTGGGCGGCCCTGCAGACGCCTACAAGAAGTAATCCCCAAAGCTGACGATGAGGAACGACAGCGACATCACCGCGTTGTACGCGGTGAGGCCCCAGTCCTCGTACCAGATGCTTATGCCCAGCATGGCGCCGTAATAGGCAAACAGCACCATCTCGAGGGCGTACGGCTTGTGGTAGGAGCGCAGCCAGCTGTTGTTGTCGTTGGCCGCAAACTTCAGGGTCACCTGGGGAAGGTTGGTGTGTGTGCGTGTGTGTGTGTGTGTGTGTGTGTGCGCGCGCGTTTGTGTAAGCTGACAGGGGAAGCGGCGTGCGTGCGTAGGTCCCAAATGCACAGGGATGGCGTTTTAAATGCAGAATGCAGGCAATACAAGACAGGGAAAGCAAGCAGTATGAGACAGGTCATTCCAGGTAACCACGTGTAGAGGCTTGCTGCGTGTCAAAGCGGGACCCTCCCCATCCACAAAACACCACCGCAGCTGCTGCGAGCGGCTCAGGCGCAAATCGGCGCAGGCCGACACAGGTCGGGGCCCAAGGTTTGAGGCCGAGGGGTGGCCTGCTTTTAGACCGCCCGCCCACCTTCCAGGACTTTGACTTTTTGAGTCCCAGGATGCCGCTGATCATCGCCCAAAGCTTGAAGTAGCCCAGCACGACGCTGCGGGTTGCGGTTGGCGGCGGTTGGGGGGCGCCGGTCATTGCCAGGGATCAGCAAGAGGCATTGCAGGCGTCACAGCTACGTCTGGGGCTTGGCCGCGACGTGTGCGAGGCAACAAAGACGTACTGCGCTTGCCAGCTTCGAACCGCAACCAGCAAGATGGGCGCTCGTAAGAACGCACGCGCTGCGCGCCTCATGCGAGGCGCTTTGCACATTTGCAGGCCCCCTGGCGCCCAGCCGCGCCGCCCGCGGGTCCGCACCTGGGATCTTGCCCACTCGCAAACACCCTTCCAGGGCGCCCACGCGCCACGAACCCAGCTTGTTTTCCCCCCCCCCCTCCCCTCCCCTCCTTATGAGCCCCTGCCCTGGTGTCGGCTTTTGTTGCGCCATGATCACCCCTGATGCCGACTCCAGAACACCCCAGTCCTCGCGAAACACCCCCGATCCCGAGAAATAAACGTTTTTAACGCCGAGATCCCTCACCTGAACAGCAGGAAGATGTACGACAGGATCGTGAAGTACAGGTACACCACAACCGCCACGTTCGCGCTGACGAGGAAGAAGATCGTCGGGAACCCCCACACCCAGGGGTCCAGCCACAGCACGATGGGCGATGCGAGGAGCGCGACCAGCGTCACGAGGGCGAACACAAAGTAGCGGCAGAAGAACCAGTAGCAGTTGATCTTGGAGAGGAAGCCAATCTCCTTGCAGAAGAAGATGTTGGCAAAGCTCTTGCGGACGATCTGAGGGGGTAGATGTTTTGTAAAGGGGGGGAGTACCAGAG